GGAGGAGTGAACGCCGCTGCAATGACGATGGGGGGCCGCGGCTGGCAACACTAGGGTGGGGCTCGTCTCAGGCGCCTGTGCCAGTGAGCCTCCTTCCCAGGGAAACAGGCGAGCAGCAGCCCGATCGTCACCTTGTCAGTGCCGGTGCGAGGGTCGTGGGCAACCAGGATGCTCGACACGGGCGGGCGGGGAAGCGTTTCTTGTTCCTCGCCGCCCGTTTTGGCCCACCCCTTCCCCCCATGGCCCGGGTACCTTGCCCAGGCGTGCCTGGGGGAGGGCGGGGTCTCGCGTGGGAGCGGTGGCCGGCGGAGGCTCAATGGGGCGGCATGCCCCAGGCGTGTCGCTATCTGAGGGCAGTGCGCCCGCCGCCTCGGACAGTCAGACCGCGCGGCGAGCCAAGGCGTGTGATGCTAGGTGTTTTAGGTGCGGGTGTTGGCCTGTTCGTCGCAGTCCTCCCCCCACAGGTATGGCGCTGTGCTCACAGGCGCGGGGTGCTGAAAGGCATGTTTAGGTGCTCACAAGCGTGTTGTAGCGCTCTCAGGCTCCCAACCTTTCGCGGCGCCGAGCTCACAGTCATGGCGTGGTGCTGAAGGCAAAGGCATGTTTCTGGTTCACATTCGTGCTGTGTCGCTCGCAGGCTAGTGCGGTGCGCATAGGTCAGGCGGGGTCACTGTTGCGGCGAGCCCAGCAAAAAAGTGAGGAGGAGGAGGAGGAGGAGGAGGAGGAGAGGAAGGAGTAGTCGGCAGTTTCCGGTTGGTGCCTTATGGTTTTGGCTGTGGCGACGGGGCGATGAGGAAGAGGAGAGGGAGGGGGAGGTGCATGAGGAGGAGGAGGTGGAGGAGGAATGACGAATCCTGAGGGCCTCCGTGGTCTGTAGCGAGCCCCGCAAAGAGGCGTCGCAAGCTACTAATGTGCTCGGTGGCACGCTTGGCGTTCTGGTATACACAGGCGCTGGTGCACGCAGGCATCGTGGCGTGCACAGGCGCTGCGGTACGCATGGTTATTGTGGTGTACACAGGCGCTGTCGTGTACACCAGCGCTCTGGGTGCGCACAGGCAACGTGTTGTACACAGGCGCTGTTTCGCCACGGCTGCTGCAGTTTACACAGGCAGTGCGATATACATAGGCGACGTGGTGCTGCGGTGCACGCGGTTGTTGTGGTGTACGGAGGCACTGTGGTGTACACAGGCGACGCTGTGTTGCACGCAGGCATTGGGCATTGTCGTGTACACAGGGACTGTGGTGCACACAGGCGATTGGTATGCTGGTGGCGTGGACGCACCCTGCCGGTGCACGTTGCGGCCGCCGTTACCGTTACCCTCCCGCCCGACACGCACCAGGGAGGTAACAGAAACGCTCACTATGGGACCTCCGCTCAACAGTTTCTTGGCGCGTTGCTGGCTGAGGTTCGTCACTGACCTCTTCAGCCCTGGGAAATCGGTGGTGGGGTGCGCCAGACGCTTTCGGACGGCCCTCGGCTTTTCTGACGATTTCGAGCGGTCCCTGCCTTTCTGACGGTTTCGTTTTTCGAGGTTTGAGGTTTTCTGGCGTTTCCATTTATTCTCGGCGGCTTACCAGCCTTCAGCGGCACTGTGACGGGTGCTCACGAACGGGTGCTTGGGAAATGTCCCGAACGGTGCAATTTTAGGGCCTCTTTCTGGCATTGCAGCGTTGTCCACGTCGGGAAGGACTGATTTCGCCTGCTCACTGGTCCAAGTTCCCGTTCGTGGAGTCCCCGCCAGAGGGCCGCTGAAGCCTCGGGATGCCTTCCAGCGGCTGCTGCGCCTCGCCGAGGGCTCTCCGGGGGGGCCCAGATCGTCCCGAACGGCAACAAGAAAGATGACCCTCTAGGTCCCCTGGATGGGGTCGGGATAGATCGGGTCGGAGGATCGTGCCGCATCGGCGATGCATCGGCGAAAGCATGGCCGATGCGGCTCGATGTGCGGCCCGCTCTTCTCCGCGCCGGCGTCGCCGATGCATCGGCGACGTCGCCAGTGCATCGCAGATGCATCGCCGATGTATCGTCGATGCGGCGAGCTCCTCCGACCCCATCTACTCTAGGGGAACGAAAGGTGACACAAACATAAAAACTCAGAGGTCCGCGCGGATTTCTCGGATCGGCTCTGGACCCCCCTCCCTGGCGCGCGGAGCGCGCCAGGGGCGGCGCCGGAGGCGCCGCCAGGGGGCCCCAGCGCCGATCCGAGAAATCCACGCGGACCTCCGAGTCTTTATGTTTGTGTCGCTTTTCGTTCCCCTGGACTCGGACCCCATCCAGGAGGCCTCCTGGAATCACGCAGGCCCGGAGTCACGCAGGCCAGGAGTCACGAGGCGGGGCAGCGTTCAGGGGAAGCGCGCAGGCCAGGGAGGGCCGCGTCGGCCCCCAATCCCCAGCGCGTCGCCGACGCGGGGGGCCCGCCCGTGGCCACGCCGCCCGGGAGCGTGCGGAGCTGCCAAACTCAGGAGGGGAGAAACACACAGACACAGTTAATCGTCGGTTTTCCAAAGAAAATATGGCAGAATATGGGAAGTGTGGGGGGGACGACAAAACACCCAAAAACATGGGAAGATATGTGTAATCATTTTATTTGTGTGTATTTTTTGTGTGTTTGTGGGCCCCTTCGCAAACATGGGGGGCCGATGGCAGAGCTGTCCGCGGTGCATCGCTGCTTCCCGACAGAGGTCCCCCCCCTGGAGCCAGCCTACCCCCCTCGCTTTCCCCCGGAGGAAGGAAGGTGGCCATGTTCTCCTCTGTTTCAGGCATCTTGTTGCCTTTAGGAGTCGAACAGTTTCCCTTTGCTCCTTCCCGGCCAGGGAGCCGGCGGGAGCCCAAGCTATTTCAACGCCCTCATTGTTCGTGTTTGCACCCGCTTCTTCCGAACGGCCAGTGAGAGAGAGCACCAGGCATGGGGAGAAGGGAGCGAGATCAGCAGGCGGAGGGCGGAGAGGAGCATCGGGAGGAGGGGGGGACATCCGGAAGAGGGCGGCGCGTCAGGGGGGGCGACCGCAAAACGGGATGGGGGGGGAAGAGGTGCACTTTTTGGGTGCCCCAGAGGGGGGCGGTAAAGCGGGCGACTCCGGGCCCATTAGGGGCACGACCGGTGCGCGTGTTTCCGGCCCTCCCCCATTGTGTCGCCCCAGGAGGTTCGACGGTGCAACGCCCCAGGAGGTTAGGCGCTTTTGAGCATTAGTGGGTCTCTTTGGGCTTCCTGAGAGGCCATGTTGTCGCCACAGGAGGTTCGACGGTGCAACGCCCCCGGAGGTTAGACGCTTTTGAGCATTGGTGGGTCTCTTTGGGCTTCCTGAGAGCCCATCTTTGGAGGTTGATCAACCTCCTACCCTGACACGTCGATTAGCGAATTGGCCGGTTTCGGCTCGCGAGAAAGCGTCGCGCCCGTCTTTGTTGTGGGTCGAGGTCCGTCGGTTTCGGTCCCAGGCCATTTTCACTAGAGGGTGGTTTACTAAAGGGAGGTTTAAGTCGGGCCTGTCCCTCTACAGGATGATTATTCAAAAATAGTTTAAAAGATAGTCTTGGGTACGATCTTTGGACTATTTTTTACCATGCGGGGAGTATTTCGGGAGTTTTTTTGTTGTTCGTCCGAAATACCCCTGCAGGGGGACAGGCCCGACCTAAGGGGAGGTGTGTCCACCGCCGAGTGTTGTCGCCCTGGTAGGCTCGACGGCGACGGTTGCAACGCCCCAGGAGGATCGACGCTTTTGGCCATGGATTGTTTTTTTTGGGGGCCTCCCGGGAGGCTCCTTGTCGCCGTGGGGCTGAGTCAGGAGCGAGATTCTTGCCCGACCAAACGTAGTCAAGAGATAGTCAGGGGATGACTTTTTGATTACTATTTGCTATTTTCGGTTCAAGATGCATGATTGCTTTATGTTTTATGTTCGGTTTTTCCGAATCTGTTCGAGCATGTTTAACCTATGCTTTATTTTTCGTCCAAAATCCGCCGACCGGAGGACATGCCCAACCTAACGCTGGATCCGCCTCGAACAAAATCAATCAGAGCTGACCTCTGCGGGGGTCAAGGGTTTCGCTGTTCCAATATAGTTTAGCCTTGACCAGCGCCCCAGGAACAGTCCAGAGAACTGGAGCAGAGGGAGGAGGAAGATCGAAGCAGAAAAGACACCATGAACATAATTGTTGGGTGTTCCGAGCTGCTTTCTTGGATCCGCGCTGGGCTTCCCGGCGGCGCCGCCGGCGCCGCCCCTGGCGCGCTCCGCACGCCACGGACGGGGGTCCAGCGCAGATCCAAGTAATCCGCGCGGAGCTACAACAGTTCATGTTCACGTGTTCTTTTTTATAGAAGAGGAGGGCGCCCAGTCGGAGGAGGAAGCTGATCTTGAGCAGGATGGGGAGGAGGAGGAGGAGGAGGAGGAGGCGGAGGAGGCGGAGGAGGAGCAGCACGAAGGGGGGAGGATTAGGAGAGGGCGACGAGGAGGAGGATGAGGAGGAGGAGGAGGAAGATGATCTCGAGCAGGATGGGGAAGAGGAGGATCTAGGAGAGGACGACGAGGAGGGCGGGGCGAACGCAGGCCACGAGGACGATATGCTGAGGAGCGGGGAGTGCCAGAAACGCAACTCTGGAAACGCAACTCTGCCCAGAGCTTCCTGGAACGTGATCGTTTTTGTACTAATTCTTTTCCCGATCGGCGCGGGCCCCCTCCCCCCCCTCCCTCCCTCCCCCACCCCCCCATGAAGCATATTTTTGCTGTGTTTGGCACCTGGAACGTGGTTGTTTTGCCGATCGGCGCGCCCCCCCCCCTCCCACCCCCATAGAGTAGATCTTTGCTGTTTTGGGGCGCCTGTTTCAGGCAGGTGGAGTCTCCCCTCATAGGTCGCACTGCTGCAAACAGACGCCACTAAGCAGAGGTCCGGCGCCAGACCTCCCCCCCTCGCGCACAATGTCGAAGCGCCGAATACAAAAACGCTCACAACTCGCGAGAAACTCTGCCCAGAGCTTTCTGGTACTCTCCTCCTCCTCCTCCTCCTCCGTAGCCATTTTGGCTCTAGCCAGGCTCCCCCCTCCTCCCTCCTCATCCTCGCCCTCCCCTCCGCAGCAGCAGCACGAGCCCGCGATGGTGCGCCAGCCCCTGGAGCTTCGCTGCCAGTCTCCGACTCCAAGCCTCCCCCCCTGGCGCTCCTTGCTGCTGCTCTTCGCCTCTGCGCTGGCGCTGTCGCTGGGCTTCGACCTCTGCAGGACCGGCCTCTGCAGGACCGGCGACCTCCCAATCCTCACCAGCCTCAGCGGCGACGCGGCGCGAGGCTTGGCCGAGATCGCGGTCCTTCTCCAGGTGGCCACGTGCGAGGGAAGCGCCTGGCAGGAGGCCCTGGCGGAGTGCGCGGGCAACGTTGCCGCGGCCGCGCTGGAGGTTGGCCGCAGCGCCTCGGTACAGGTGGCCGCGAGCCAGGAGTGCGCCGCTGCCTCCCGCGGCCTGGCGGACTCCCTCTTGGCCTCGAGGGTCCAGGTGGGCTTCCGCGCGGCCGAGGGCAGCTCCAGCGCCGAGCTTCTCGCGCTGCAGCTGAAGGAGGCCGAGGCGGCTGGCCTGGTGCTGATCATGGGCACGGACGCGGGGCCCGCGGTGCGGCACAGGACGACCCAGGCCCTCTGCGGCACCGTCCCGCAGGTGCACTCGGTGCTGCGCCAGTTCGACACGGACAGCAGCTTAGGTCTGCTGGCGCCGTTGGGCACCGTGGCGGACCACACGACGGAGACGAGCGACATCATGCCATCTCTCAGACGCGCCCGCTTCGCGAACCATACGACGTGCGCCAGCCTGTTCGGCCAGGAGCGCCTCTCCCGCATGGGCAGGTACGCCCCCTCGCATCAGTCCTCTGTGGCCGCGGTCGGCGGCAATTACTGGACGCGGTTCACGGCGTTCCCCGCGCACGCCCCCGAGGTTATCGCGGGATTGAGGGCCACGTTTGGCAGCACGGGCGCCACCGCCAGGGATGCGCAATTGTCTCTGGTCGAGGTCTGGATTCCGACCATGGTGCGAGAAGGCGGCGCGAAGCTGGCTGAGATCCCGCCGGCGCCGAAGCCCATGGCCATTTTTTTTCCCCAGTACCACCCCATCCCCGAGAACGACAAGTTCTGGGGGACGAATTTCACGGAGTGGACGCTGCTGAGGCCTTTCGAGGGACCGCAGATCCGGAAGCCGCTCAGCGTCGAGAAAGGGGGGCTGGGGTACTACGACCTCCGCGACGTGGAGGTGCGGAGGAGGCAGGGGGAGTTGGCCAAGAGCTACGGCCTGCACGGGTTCGTGTACTACCACTATTGGTTCAGCAGCGTAGATGGCCACAAGGTCATGTACAAGGTCCCGGAGCTCCGCATCCAGGATGGCCACCCTGACACACCCTTCATGTTTAGTTGGGCGAACGAGGCATGGAGCCGCCACTGGGATGGAAACGATACTCAAGACACGTTGATGCTGGCTCAGACGTACGGTGAGCAGGAGGAGTGGACTGCGCATTTCAACTACTTGGTGCAATTTTTCAAGCATCCGAAGTATATCCGGGTGGAGGGAAAGCCTGCGTTCGTCATATACCGTCCAGGGTTGATGGAAGAGAAGTTGGAACCCATGTTGGAGCTTTGGACACGGATGGCTGTTGAAAACGGTTTACCAGGTTTGCATATCATAGCCACGGTGGGAAGTTTCTACAGACTGCCCGCCGAGAGGCCATGGGAGACCACTCCCATGCTCAATGCGGCATTTCACTTTATGACGTCGGACATGTGTTGCCACGCTGGCGTCAAGCCTCACCCGCCTCCGGCGCCGCCCAACAAGCGGGCCGTGTCCACGGTGGAAGACTTCGGCGAGGTGGAGCAGGCCGTCCAGTACTGGGGAGCCTACGCAGGGTTCGATAACCGCCCGCGCAAGCCCAAAGAGCGGATCTTCCCTAAGCTCAAGGTTTCGCCGTCCGACTTCGCCCTCGGCGTGAAGTACTCGCTCGACGGGATGGCGCACAACGGTGCAGCGAGAGAAGTATGGGACAACCTGTATTTTCTTGCTTCCTGGAACGAGTGGAACGAACAAAGCGTGCTGGAACCCGACGACACGTACGGGTTCGGCTTCCTGGAAGCATTGCGCGAGCAGTTGCGCAGAGTTCCGTCGCGCGTGTATGAGGGCCCTTAGGGTGGCCACGCCACGCGTTCATGGACCAGGCTTAAGCTTGCCGCATGCCGATGTTGTCCAGCTGACGCGGTAGACATACATAGGGGGCACTCGGCATTTGTTGTGCCCTGTCTCTGCCTCAGCCCCTCGATGCATCCCCCGAGCCCTGCGCATTCAGGCCAGGGGCAACGCTGCGTGGGCGTGGCGCCGCGTGGCCCTCGCGGCGTCGCCTCGGGGGGGGGTACCTTTGTGGTGCCTCTCGCGGGTTTCTCGGGGCCCTCCCCCTTGGGGCGCAGACGCGCCCTTTTCCTCTACTCGGGTTTGGACAGAACCCCCACCCTGACATGTCGATTAGTTAATTGTCCGTTTTCGGTTTTCGAGAGGGCGCCGCGACCTGTAGGGCCATAGGGCCATGGGGCTATAGAGCTATATGGGCTATGGGGCTATAGGGATATAAGGCTATAGGGCTACAGGGCTATAGGGCTATACGGCTATAGGGCTATAGGGCTACTGGGCTATTGGGCACCCCCGGGCACCCGGGCACCCCCGGGCACCCGGGCACCCCCAGGCACCCGGGCACCCGGGCACCCTGGCCCGGCCACCGAAATCGGCCACCCGGGCACCCCCGGGCACCCGGGCACCCGGCCCCGGCCACCGAAATCAGCCGCTCGCTTCACCTCAGCTTTATATCCGCTAGGACCCCTACAGAAGCAAGCTCTGATTGGGGAACTGCGTTTCCCAGACAGCCCCAGATGCAACCAAAAAACTGCGATGCCCAGGGTTGCGTTTGGACAATCATTTCAAGACAAAGCCAGCCTTGGCCACGAAGAGCGCATCGGAGACGGAAAGGAGGGTCGTCCGGTTGCAGACCGGACCGGGCCGCAACCAGGCCCGGGGGCCCGGGGGCCCAGGGGCCACGACCTCTACAACAAATGTGTGGCCCGGGGGCCCGGCCAGACCTTGAGGGGCCCAAAATCGCATCGGAGGGCGGTTCGATGAGCGTCACGGCGGCCCCAGCCAGCCGCCCACCACCCTGAAGACGGCTTTGACGGATCGGATCACGGGACGTGTCCATCGGCCCCAGAGGCTTCGAAGACGCCTCGTAACCCGTGCAATTTGCCCCACGAGGGCCCCGAGAAGCAAAAATATATCCATTCCTTCCGTAAAACGTATATGTTTACCGTACTCGTGATTTTCGTCTTCGCGCCATCCTTGACGACCTCAGGGGTCCCTAAGATTGCCCCTACACGGCCCAAGAGGCCCCCCAGAGGGCGCCAAGACGGCCCAAGAGGGTCCCAGGCCGGTCCCAGAGGCACCCAAAACGGCCCCAACAGCTTCCCAGAGGGCTCCTAGAGGAGCACAAGATAGGGCAATCCAACTGGAATTGCCAGCCCCACGCCCCAAGAGGGCGCCCGAGACCCCCACGAGGCCCCAAGCAGCCAACACGAGGCCTCCAAGACGCCTCATAACCCGTGCAATTTGACCTCCCAGAGGGCCCCGAGAGGCAAAATTGGCCCCGTTCTCTTCGGAAAACGTACATGTCAACCGCATTCGTGTTTTTCGTCTTCGCACCGAGCTTGTCCCCAAGAGGCCCCCAAGCAGACCCCAAGGGGCTTCCAATGTATGTATTTATGTATGCATGTCTGTCTGTATGTATGGATGGATGGGTGGATGAACGGATGGATGGATGGATGGATGGATACGGATGGGGATGGATATGTATATGTATATGCATTTATACATATAACGGCGCACCGGGTCCGGGGGCCCGGGGCCGGGACCTCGACCGCAAATGTGCACCCCGGGGGCCCCGGAGGCTCGTCGGGGCTTGCCGGAGGCCTCCCCAGTCAGACAAGACGGCCCCAGAAACGCCCAAGACGGCCCAAGAAACTTCCAAGAGGCCTCCAAGAGGGCTCCGAGATGCTGAAGATGGCCTCCAGACGTCCAAGGACGCCCCCAAGAGGCCCCAAGAAGCCTCCAACATGCGTCCCAAGAGGGCCCCTAGACGCAAAAATTGGCCCATTCCCTTCGTAAAACGTACATTTTCAACAAAGTTGCCTTTTGGGCTTTCCGACATTACAGGACGGCCCAAGAGGCGCCCAAGACCGCCCCAAGACGGCCCAAGAAGCTCCCAAGAGTGCCCCAGGACAGCCCAAGAGGGCCCCAAGACGGCCCAAGAGGCGCCCAAGATGGCCCAAGAGGGCCCCAAGACGGGCCCAAGAGGGGGCCCAGAGGGGGACCACGAACCGCAAGCTCGAGCCTTCCGCCCCAAGAGGCCGCCAGGAGGCCCCCAGGAGGCCCCTCAAGAGGCCCCAGGAGACCCCAGACGTCCAAGGACGCCCCCAAGAGGCCCCAAGAAGCCTCCAACATGCGTCCCAAGAGGGCCCCTAGACGCAAAAATTTGCCCATTCCCTTCGTAAAACGCACATTTTCAACAAAGTCGCCTTTTGGGCTTTCCGACGTTACAGGACGGCCCAAGAGGCGCCCAAGACCGCCCCAAGACGGCCCAAGAAGTTTCCCAGAGGGCCCCAGGACAGCCCAAGAGGGCCCCAAGACGGCCCAAGAGGCGCCCAAGATGGCCCAAGAGGGCCCCAAGACGGGCCCAAGAGGGGGCCCAGAGGGGGACCACGAACCGCAAGCTCGAGCCTTCCGCCCAAGAGGCCGCCAGGAGGCCCCCAGGAGGCCCCTCAAGAGGCCCCAGGAGACCCCAGACGTCCAAGGACGCCCCCAAGAGGCCCCAAGAAGCCTCCAACATGCGTCCCAAGAGGGCCCCTAGACGCAAAATTGGCCCATTCCCTTCGTAAAACGTACATTTTCAACAAAGTTGTCTTTTGGGTTTTCCGACGTTACAGGACGGCCCAAGAGGCGCCCAAGACCGCCCCAAGACGGCCCAAGAAGCTTCCAAGAGTGCCCCAGGACCGGCCGGGACGGGGGTCATTTTCCCTGTGTTTTTACAGGGTTTCCGCGTCCTGGGCCTCGGAGGCCGCCGCCTCCAACCCCCCATGGGAGGACGGGGCGGCTGGGGAGGTCCAAAATAGTCCAGGAGGGCATCCAGAGGCTCCCAAGACGGCCCAAGCGGGCCCCGAGTCGCCGAAAGACCGCTCCAGGACGCCCAAGATAGGCTCAAGACGGCCCGAGAAGCCCCCCAAGGCACTCCACGACGCTTCAAGACGCCTCTCCAGAGCGCTTCAAGAGGCCGAAATCGTTTATTTTACGGAGGTTTTGGACACATTTTGCTTTTCCCGCCTTCTCAGCTTTCCGATGCTCCACGACGGCTCAAAGGCCCCCCGCGGACGCCCCCCGCGGACGCCCCAAGAGAGCCCAAGAGAGCCCAAGAGGCCTCCAAGAGGGGCTCAAGACGGCTCTGGAGGGCCCCAAGACGGCCCCAAACGCGCTCAAGACGGGCGAAGAGAGCCCCAAGACGGCCCAAGCGGGCCCCGAGTCGCCGAAAGACCGCTCCAGGACGCCCAAGATAGGCTCAAGACGGCCCGAGAGGCCCCCCAAGGCACTCCACGACGCTTCAAGACGCCTCTCCAGAGCGCTTCCAGAGGCCGAAATCGTCAATTTTACGAAGGTTTTCGAACGATTTTGGCCTTCCAGCCTTTTCGGCTGTCCGACGTTCCAAGACGGCTCAATAGGCCCCCAGGAGCGCCCCAAGACGGCCCAAGAGGGCCCCAAGAGGGCCCCAGAGTCGCCCAAGACAGCCCAACAGAGCCCCAAGACAGCTCCAAAAGAGTGCCCCAGGAGGCCCCAAGGAGCCCCCAAGAGGCCCCAGGAGGCCCCCAAGAGGCACCCAGGAGGCCCAAACGAGGCCTAAAGAGGCCACAAAACAGCCCCGAGGAGGCCCCACAACGGTCCCAAAACGGCTACCGAGAAGCTGCGAAACTGCCTTCACGACGTCCCCGACAGGCCAACCACGAGATCCAAGCCAACACCCATGAGGCCTCTGACCCACCACCCAGGGCACGGTGGCGGGAGCAGTGACAGCACTTGTGCACAGCATGTTCCGGCGGGAGCCTTCTGGAACACGCTGCAGGAGGAGGATGATCAGGAGGAGAGAGAGCTGGAGTGGGAGGAGGAGGAGGAGGAGGAGGGCGACGAGGAGGAGGAAGAGGTCTCCAAGACAGCTCGAAGATAGCCGAAGAGGCTTACACGAGGGCCCTGGGCGGCCCACGAGGGCCCCAAGGCGGTGCCCGAGGCGCCCGAGAGGGCTCCAAGACGGCCCCAAGAGAGCCCCAAGAAGGGAAACACGAATCGAGAATCCGAGCTTTCTACCCCGAGAGGTTCTCGGGAAGACCCAAGATGCCCCCAATCGGATCCAAGAGGCCCCTGAGAAGCTCCCAAGAGGGCCGACGAGGTTCTCCGACCCCATCTAGGAGGCCTCTAATCTTGGGGCCGAGGGCTCGGAGTGTCCGATCGGGTCCTTTGGCTGGTCTTCTTCTGGAGTTGGTCTTGGGCGCCTCTGTGGGCGTCGTGGAGGTCGCAGCTGCCGTCGTGGGGCCGTCGTGGGGACCTTGCGGGTCCTTTACGAACGTCGGGAAGTTCAAAGCGCGAGATTCCCCCAAAACCGCGCACAATGCCAACATAGCCACGGATTTGTCGTTGGTCGGGTAGAGCAGGGGGTGTATATCCAGAAGGAATACTGACACAGGTCCCAGCGACAACGCCTCAGTCGGTCCCCTTCATTCGCACCCGATCTCCCATCGTCCATCCTAATTATGAGTTCATGCCATCCAAGCTCAACCTGTGGGCGAATTATGCTTGTATTTGTATCGAAGACGCCTACGGCGAATCACCGCCGCCCCCTGTCTTTGTGGAAGCGCCTATGTGGCCGAACGTTGAGGCCAGACCTGCCAAGCTGTCGGACCATGTGTTCCCCGAATCGGTTCGGAAAGCCTTCGGGGAGCACGTGGGCATTTTGAAGGTCATCTTGGCAGTCTGGAGGCCATTTTGACACTTTCGGGCCTTTTTGGAGGACGTCTTGGAGGGCTCTTGGGCCGTCTTAGAGGCCATCTTGAGCATCTTGGAGGCCTCTTGGGCCGTCTTGGGGGCCTCTTGGGGCTGTCTTGGGCCTCTTGGGCGATCTTTGGGAGCACTTGGGCCGTCTCGGGCCGTCGGAAGGCCGAAACAAATGCCACAATCCTTCAAAAACTCATGGGAAATTAATGATTTTGGCCTTTTCGGGCCTTCCTGGAGGCCCTCTTGGAGGCCTCTTGGGCCGTCTTGGGCCATCTTAGGGCCATCTTCGGCCGTCTTGGTGGGCTCCTGGCCCGTCTGACGCCGTCGGCAGCTGTTTGGGCCTCTCTGAGCCGAATTGGGGCCCTCCTGGAATGCTCCAGGGCCGTCTTGAAGGCCATATTGGGCGTCTTAAAAGGCCTCCTGGGCCATCTTGGGGGCCTCTTTGGGCCGTCTTGGGGGC